TAGGGGAGTTCTATTGTTAGTTTCCTGAGGAACCTCCACACTGTTTTCCAGAGGGGCTGCACCAGTTTACATTCCCACCATCAGTGTAGGAGGGTGCCCGTTTCTCCACATCCTCACCAGCATCTAGAGTTCTCCGATTTGCTCATTTTAGCCACTCTGACCGGCGTGAGGGAGACCACACAGCTTCTGCCTTCTGCCATTGGGACACTCCTTCCTGGAGCCCTGATCTCTTATCTAAGATATCTGACTCTCTTGAGTGTGAGAAAGGCCAAGTTGCAAGGAGAAGCCACATTTAGGCTCTCCCATAGACTATCGCAGTGGAGCCCAGTCTTTGAATCATTTCTGCCCAGGGACCAGAAACATCCGTGAAGAAGCTCCCAGATGAGTTCATCCCACAGCCATTCAAGTCTTCCCACCTAAAGCCCCAGCCATCTCCAGTGTGCCCTATTTGAGCTCCTGGTCTGTGGAATCCACAAATAGAATAAAATGTTTGTTGTTTCCATACCACTAAGTTTTGGGGTGGTTTGTTACATAGATTTGATAACTTGAACAATCACTATTATCGTGTATCTGTGCGGAGAAATTTTAGACATATATAAGCATACATATGTATATATGTCACTCCTCCTTATCCTTTTAAAGCGAATAGAAGCCGATTAACACACTGCTATGTACTGTGCTTTTCACAAGGAGTCAGTTAAACAAATGGTGCTTTACTCACAGGTTTGCGGACATCAGGCAAGGTGATCCAGAGAGGAAACACTATGGGCAAAACAATTAGGAACGTGACTTGCTTGCGGGGGTTGGTAGGCCAGGCCAGGCTGAGAGGCTGGTCCTCCTCCTCTTCACCCGTCTCTGTGGTCTGTTGTAGAAAAAAGAGATGGAAGAATAAACAGAAAGAAAAGATGACAATGTCCACAGGCTATGAAAGCAAGAGCACAAAGCTCACAACCACACCAGGAGTTTTCTTGGCTCATCCCAGCAGCTCCATCATGAGGGTTCTAGGTTTGTAAGAGAACCCCATCTGTCACAGTCTGAATCCCAGAGACAAACAATACATTGAACAGCCATGGGAACTTAGGAACCTCCTTTTCTCTCCCTGAATGCACTTCAGCTTCTCACTTAAGTGAACTGATCATTCAACTGGTGTGGGTGACCTCTACAATCCGTGGACTTTGTATGAGAAACCATATCTGCAGGGCAAAAGACCCCAATGCCCACCTTCTCCTCTCTCCCTTCTCCTTGAAGACAAAGCCATAGGTTTCCTTATGGGAATCCTTGGGAAGGATTTTTTTTAAATTAAAAATTAAACAAAAATTACAGGTATATATATCTAAATTTATATATTTTTAGAGCATTGATTTTGAGCAGGCAAATGAAAGTAACCATAGAAACAATTCAGTAACAATACTCAACTCCCTTCTCAGGCGCTGGAATAGTCAAGCTCATGGATTGTTGTGTGGTTGTGAATTTTTAATCTGTATGATCATCTTGTTAAATTCTAAACCATTTTACTTCCAGCCAAAGACTTATTATACAAGCATATGTCCCATTCTCAGAGAAACAGACTACGGGAATAGAGTAAGACACTGAACCCATGAGTGTCAACTGCACAGGACCTCAGAGTCAGGGCTTAACTTCGGATTTTCTGACTTGGCAGCAAGCGGCCAAGGTTTTATGTGCCACCTGCTGAAGTCAGCAGCTTCTGACATCCCCGAGCTAGAAGAGACAGAAGGTGGCGCCGGGCCTGGCAGGCTGACCGTTAGACTGTCAGATGGGCCCTCCAAGCCTTCAAAACAGCACTGCAGACAGTATCAATCACTCCCTTCCCTGCTTGTTTAAAAATGAAAGTGCAGCAGGAGGATCAAGCATCAGATCTAAAAATATCAACAGGAACTTTTCCACGGATGCTTCCTTTTGAGACCATATAAATAACCCACACAGGCTTCGTGAAGCTCCTGCCCCCCGTGGCTCTTGCTTCCAGCAGCCTGCACTATTTCCAGCAGCAGCACTGACCCCTCAGCACCCCTCTCCCCACGAGCTGGCAGCCTTGGGCCAGTTGGACGGGGGAAAAGGACTCACCCAGATGCAGGGCTGGGCGTGAGGCCTGACACATTGCGATGTTATGTTTATTTATAATTTAAACCCTAGTACTGCCAAAAGGATTTATAGTGGTTTACACAATCACCCCCCACTCTCTCTCCAAGAGTTAAAATTAAAAAAAATATATATATATGTATATATATGTAAAAGGAATCTTAAGCCATACTGGAAAAAAGTTGGTAATAATAGGTTCTTTCTCTTTGGGTATATGTCCTTGGCAAGTGGGTAAAATAATTTATAAATAGCAAATATGAGGGAATGAAGAGGATTAGGTAATAAGGTAGAATTAGGAAGCCGGCGCAGTTTGTTTTTGTCATCTGGATCCTCATTAAATATACTTCCATGCTCTCCATCCCTTTGCTATGGAAGACGTTGGAAAAGAAGAAAGATAAAAACAACAATCTACATTTCTACTTTAGGGACCTAGAGAAAGGAGAGCAAGTTAAACCCAAAGTAAGCAGAAGAAAATAAATAATAAAAATGTTAGAGAAGAAGTCAATGAAATTGACAAGAAGGGAGTCAATAAAGTCAACGAGACCAAAAGCTGATTCCTTTGCTATGCAATTCATGTGGGTCCATCCACTGCTTTCTTTCCTCCATTCCGGATGGAATCTTGGGCATACTGCCTCTGGTTCCTCTTCCCAGACCACTCTGTGTCCTCCCAGGGGATACAGCAGATGTAGAGAATATCACTCCCCATTGAGATCGCCAGCCTCCCAAGATGTCAGCTTGATACGTGAATAATCTCTCTGTCATGAGGCCAATGAGGACTTAGGAGACAAGTGCGTTTTAATGGTTCCCTCCCAGATATGATCTTTCTTGTTGAACCCCAATGAATGACTTTCCCCTCTCCACCCAGTAGATGCCTCAGAAAAGGGGAGGGATCATGGGACAGTTGAAGCATTGCATCATTCCTAATAAGTATCTCATCTCATACCAGAAGGGTGGTTTTATTCAGGCAGAGGATTCCAGCACTTTCCAGAAGACCCATGGAGCTGATGTGATATGTTTATCAATGTGATATGCTCCTCCCCTTTCCGGGATTGACACTCCCCACCCCCAGTCCCATCTCACACTGCCATCTGCAATCTAGCAACTTCTCTCTAAACTCTAAGCTAACCTTTTTTCTGAGAAAAAACAAAAGCAACTCTTTATGACTCATATCATTTTAATGACACCAACAGATGGTGACATTTCATCAATAACCCTTCTGCTTATAACCTACGGATTAGTTCCTTTCTCCATCTGCCAAAGTCACCAGGCAGGCAGTGCCACTAGCAAATAGCAGAAAATAATTGTGTGTTTAGATGCATAAGCTCTAAACACACTACTGTCCAATGCAAACAATTAGCTGTATTGTACAGCTTCCAAAAGCTGCATTTGAGGTGGCGTTGCTAGGTCAGAAATGAGTAAGGAGAAGAGCTTGGGTCTCAGGCCAAACAAACAGTGCTCTTCATGCAGAATCCATAGGGTCATGGGGATGGGTCTTTCTACAGAGTATAGGAACCCAGGACCTTGGAATGGGCTTGAGAGGTGTCCTGGGAGCAAGGCTGTCAGTGTATTTTGGGGGAAAATTCTCACTGTCTTCCTGCCAAGTGCAATCTCACTCTGGTTCAATGGGTGACAGCTTGCAAGCTGGTTAGAAAAGTGGGAAAAATATACCATTCCAAGTCTGGGGCCAGTGTTGCCTTTGCCCAAGCTGGGGCTGCTGGCATGTTCATTAGTCTCAGCCCTGGGGAGAAGCCACTGAAGTTAAGGCACCAAGTTGTCAACTTCTCCTAGAGTTATGGTGTCTTGGCTTTGACCTTGTAGCAACCTCCCCAACCTCCTAAAGCTTCTGTGGAGTGTCCACAGAAAACAGAACAATGAAAAATGATCCAGAAAGAATTCAAATGACTTTTGCTATAAGACTTAACATAGTTTGATACATGCTTGGTTCTCTGGGAAAGCCCTAGAATTGCGTGAAAGCAGGGCCAGCAATCACTGCTTTGGGGCTTTATAATTTCTGATACGGAAAATCCGAGACTAAAACACGTCTTTAAGTTCCCACATCATGTGTGCTGGTTGTCACACCACGAAGGGACCAGTGCAGCCTGGTGGGGAGAGTAGGTGGTAGAGAGTCAGGAATCCTGGCTTCCAGTCTCCACTCCTGCTGTGATTTCCTGGGCTGTGACCACCATCCTCTGTAGGTATTCACTGAGTGCCTTTGGCTATGAACTAGGGTAGTAGGCTCTAACTCTTTGGGTTTTTTTCTTTGCTTGTTTTGTTTAAAAATTTCTTTTAAATGTTTGTTTTTGAGAGAGAGAGAGAATGAGTGAGGGAGGGGCAGAGACAGGAGGAGACACTGAATCCGAAGTAGGCTCCAGACTCTGAGCTGTCAGCACAGAACCCAACATGGAGCTCAAACTTTCAAACCAGCGGCCCTGGGCTTGAACTCATGAACCACGAGATTATGACCTGAGCCAAAGTCAGACGCTTGACCAACTGAGCGACACAGGAGCCCCACCAACTCTTCGTTTTAGAGCCACTTGGATTTAAAAGAGGAGACAGGACAAATGACTACAAAGAACTTATTTTTTATCCTGCTACAAGGATGCTGGCAGAGTATGTAGAAAGAGCCAATTATGGACTAAACTGTGCTCTCCTCCAAATTCATGTTTCAACTTACCTAACCCCCAATATCTCAGAATATGGCTGTATTTGGAGAAAGGGCCCTTAAAAGGGGAAGCCATTAGGGGGGGGTCCTTATAAGGTTTCCTTATAAGAGGAGATTAGGATACACAGAGATACATCAGGGGTTTGGGTGCACAGAGGAAGAGACCATGTGAGGACACGGTGAAGAAAGCCATCTGAAGAGAGAGGCCTCAGAGGCAAACAACCCTGCTAGCACATTGATCTTAGCCTTCCAGCCTCCAGATTGTGAGGAATAAATTTCTGTTCTTGAAGCCATCCAGTTCTGGCCAATGGGAGGTAATTGGAAGAATTCTCTGCAACCTTGGGATGTATCTTTAAAAGATGCAGGTGTGTCCTTCATCACTCGTTCCTCCTTCCTGCTGGCTGGAATGGGAACATTTTGGCCAGAGCTTTAAGAGTCATTTTGGACAGTGAAATGGAGAAAAAATAGAAAAGGTTCTGAGTTCCTGATGCCCATTGAGAGCTATTCTAGCCCTGGACTGCCTATATTGACTTGAGAGAGCCATAAAATTCTGTCTCACTCAAGCCACTGCTGTTTTGGGGTTTTGGTTGCTCACAGTGGAACCTTACCCTGACTAACCCAATGTCCTTTCTTTGAGGAATCAAGGGAGAAAAATATCTTTCCCCTCTCAGCACCAGGAAAAGTCATGCTTCTTTTAAGAAACTTTGAAAAATCTTAGAAATACTGTGAATCTGGTAAATGTTACTATTTTCCCCCGTTGCTTTTCGCTGAGGAATTAAGAGTCAAATTTGTAACCTCCACCTACCAATCATACCTCTGGGGTCTGTCTCGCTTACTCCAGTCCCCTTCTTTCCTTTTCCTTTACAGCCTGTGTGGAATTATCTCAAAATTCATCATTTTATCCTTTTTCCTCAGAAGTATTTTTATAAGCAGCCTCAAATCTTTGTAAAACGAGGTAGGGCAGACTCAAAACTCAACCTCCTCAGCGGTTGAATGCAATCATATGGATAACTTTGTGTGTGTGTGTATGTGTATATGTGTGTGCATGTATGTGAGGGAGGGAGTTAGAGAGAGAGTGTGTTATCCTAAGTGACAAGTGGACA